GGATCTGAGGAGTGAGCGCAGCGATTTGCCTTCCTGCACCGCCTTCCACTCCGCCGTGCTCACAGTCCCACCCAACGTCCCCCGAGCTGACTCGATGGCCAGGCTGGACCTGGATCTGGGCCCGTCCATCCTGGAGGACGTCCTGAGTATCATGGACCGCTACAAAGCTTTGGACGAGCGCTGTGAGCTGTGAAAGATCCACCAGAGACGATATATGCTGTGGAAGGACTAAAGAGGACAAGGGACGAATGGACACGGTCTACATTTGTCCTTTAAACTTAAATAATAAGACGGAGACTAGAAGCAGGACACAGCAGTTTGGATTTATGAGGCTAAAACATCTTTCTGAACTCTGAGACACAAACTCGTTAAGCCGTCTCAATCTGACGACGTTTCTGCTCGTTATTCTTTAACTAAATGGTAAAAGTTTCCTGATGGACCTGAGAAACCTGTTGGATTATTTTATTAATCCAGGATTACCTTAGGGAAAGTTCAAAGCACAGGGGGTTGTAGTAATCAATCGATCAATACCAATACCAATTCATAAACAATCAATTTAGACTTTGCAAAGTGGAGAGGAAAAGATGCGCACCAGTCAACGGTTGCCAGTTCACGCTCCACTTTGCAAAGTCTAAATTGATTGTTTATGAATTGGTATTGGTATTGATCGATTGATTACTACAAACCCTGTGCTTTGAACTTTCCCTAAGATAATCCTGGATTAATAAAATTACCCAACATTTTGGTGCCGTGACCCGGATTCGAACCGGGGTTGCTGCGGACCGACAGCTCCACTTTCAGTAGTCCGTTACTGCGACGATATTACTCTGTACATACGTACATACTCTGTACGTATGTACATACTCTGTACATCTGTACATACGTACATACTCTGTACGTATGTACATACTCTGTACATCTGTACATACGTACATACTCTGTACGTATGTACATACTCTGTACATCTGTACATACGTACATACTCTGTACGTATGTACATACTCTGTACATCTGTACATACGTACATACTCTGTACGTATGTACATACTCTGTACATACGTACATACGTACATACTCTGTACGTATGTACATACTCTGTACATCTGTACATACGTACATACTCTGTACGTATGTACATACTCTGTACATCTGTACATACGTACATACTCTGTACGTATGTACATACTCTGTACATCTGTACATACGTACAGAGTATGTACATTATAAATCTATAAATAAAAGATGTTTCTTGTAATAAAATCCTGTCTTTGTATTTCATCATCATTTATTTATAAAGCACCTTCCATTAATTATGCCCATCCGTCTGTAGCGTTGGAGAAGGCGTTGTAGGTCAGAGGTCACCCTAACAGGACACTGTCCACAGCCAGCTTCATCCGCCCGGAATTCCCGGAATGCTGTGTGCTTTTCCGTACCAGAACGTCTCTAGCCTCGCCATCGGGAGGGAAGCTGTACCAATCCCATCTCCCGAGTCCCGAGTCGGTTCTGCAGCCACAGCGAGACTCCAGACAGAACTCTTCACTCCAATAAAAGAATCTTGTTCCTGTTCTCTCACCTTACAGGTTACGCCCAGTTACGCAGAACAATGAGTGTTTTAAGGGAATCATTTCAGCGGCACAGATCCACCGTTTCAAGATCAAATAACTTATTTGTTTTAACCTGCATCAGGTAACGAGGAGCCAATAGGAGAGCATTTATGTATTAACACATCTAAAGAGGAGCAGCACCAGCTCGTTCTCCCGAGGCTCCTCTGGAACAAGATGAGGAAAGGCGAGAGAGGGCAGCTAGCACCATGAATGAAAACTAAACACCAAAAACCTTTACAGAACGCCACACACACACACACCCGCTCTGTTGTGCCTGCACACACACACACACACACACACAGAGTTGTACATTAAGAACAGCACAAACACTAATGTTGGAGACATCGGTGCTGGTACTCTGCAGGTCAGTGACAATCACCTTTTGGAGCGTGAGAGGACGACGTCTGCAGGAAGACGGTTCCAGTTTGGAGAAAGCACGTTTCCCTGCTTCTCTGCCGACTCTAGGAACTAAAAGGAAAAGAATCGTTATGATGTGAGCCATAATATGAGCTAAAAGGTACAAAATCCTCTTCTACAGTGTTAGTGGATGCATTTAAAGACTAACCAGTGATGTGGGCGTCCAGCTGGAAGTGAGAGCCATGCTCATGCAGGACACAGTGAAGTGTCTTAAAGACCGTGCAGAATGAATCAACATGCTGTTACAAACCACATCAGGGGAGTGGACAGGCTGTGTTTTCATCAATATTATCATAATCCAGACACCCTGTGGAGAAAACTCATTCCAGCCGCTTGTATCCGCGATCTCCGGTCTCTACCCAAAGCTCATGACCATAGGTGAGGGTAGGGACGTAGATCCACCGGTAAATCGAGAGCTTCACCTTCTGACTCAGCTCTCTCTTCACCACGACAGACCGGTACAACGCCCGCATCACTGCAGACGCAGCACCAATCCACCTATCCATCTCACGCTCCATCGTTCCCTCACTCGTGAGATACTAAAGTGCTGTACACGATACAGTAAACACACAGTTAGGCACAGAAAACCAACAGGCTTCAGTTAAAAACATTCAATACAAAACAGATAACCAGAGATTTACTAAGAAACTGAAGCAGTAAACAAGACTCACTCCCAGTGATGGAGCCTACACCAGCGGGGGGTCCTTCCATCATGGTGGTCCCATTGTCCTCTGTGTTGTTTTACTGTGTGCAGCGCTTTGGTCGGCTGTGATGCCACGTTAAAAGCTCTCTGTAGAGTGGTATGGTATGGAATCAGCAGTAAATCCATTTCTAGGTTTATATATGCCCCGCCCTAAGCCCCGCCCTAAGCCCCGCCCTAGGGGAAAACAGTTTCAACAGAGACTTAGAAACAAGAACCTTTAATGATTCCTAAAACAAGCGGGTTTCCACGTTCCAGTGTTATTTCCATGGTTGGACTATTTTACTGCGATCACATCGAACGCTCGGCTGCAGCAATTCTAACATGTTTGGGATTAAACGGGATTTGGCGTGGGAACCTGTACGCACACAGAACACTAAAGCTTCACACACACGCCTGGACACACATTTCATGGCTAATTAACAACTGATGGAAAAAGTCCTTCAGTGTGTGAAGCTGATCTGTGTGTAACCAGCCTTCTGTTCGTTTGTTTTACTGCCCTCTGGTGGTAAGAAGGTGTAACTACAACTTTCACTTTCTCACAACAGAATTACACTTTGCACAACCGTTCGTGCAACCTTCACAACATGCAGTCGTTAGGGTTAAACCTAGTGGCAGCTTCATGTTCATAAGTATTGCTGAACAGTCATTGTTCATACAGATGAATGAATGAGTGTGTTTTATTTAAGTGTTGTGCACAACACCATTAAACATTAAAAAGGGGCTAAACGTTTACAAAAGCACTCTTTTACATAGCAGGATAAAGGGCCCTTGTCTGTTTCCATGCTTTCCGTAAAATCGCTAACTTATAAATGTCATTTCACCACCTGGTGACCAAAACTAACTAATCATCCTCATTTCATCGCTTGTGTCATTGAAGACTAAACTGTTGAACACGTCAAACGTTTTCTACATCCATCCTCAAAACATTTGTATTGTTTCCATCAAAACGTCCATAAATAACTTTTCTCAGGTGAACCTTATCTCACTAATTCATTGCAACCAATGACAAGCCTCTTCTTCAGAGCTCTCCCACCTGAGGCACAAGACCCCCACTTTACCAGGATCAGCATCAGGTGCATGCTGTATCTACAAAACTGCAAACATCAGCCTCGTGGGAGAGGGGTGAGGATGTGTGAGGAAGGGGACAAACCCGGGGAAGAAGAGGCAACCCAGATTCCTGATGACATCAGGGCAACACTTGTGGTAAACTGTGGCCTCTCAGTTGCTGAGGCTGGTCAAAGGCTGCAACCAAACATTGGGAGAAGCTCAGTCAGTTCGCTTATTCAGACATTTCATGGGAGAACAGGGGAGCATGCAGTAATTGGGGGGGGGGGGGGGGGGGGGGGGGCTATTGAGTACCGCTGCTGCAGAGTCTCACTTCTTTCCAGAAATCTTTTGTGTTGTTGTTCAGGAGTTTCTGAGCCATCGTTGTTCCCAATAAAACACACTGCATATTTGTATTTGCAGCCCTTTTACGCTCGCACACCCACACGACTCCCCGCTAGCGCCCACTCTTAGGAGGCCTGGCATGCTTCAGCATGGCAGTCAGACACATCAGCCTGGTCTTATCTTTGTTTTAGTTTTATGTCGGTGAAAGGGAGCGCTAGTCTTATGTAGAGCATTCACTATGTCATCATACTGGTTACCGACTGCTGGTATGTGTTCATCAGCCAGTTTCTCTACAGGTGGCAGCTGCCATGGGGGGGGGGGGGAGAAACCACCCAAGAGTTTCTCATTAATCAATCAATCAATCAATCAAAGCTTTATTTATAAAGCACCTTCCGCGACCCTGTCATGTATGTACCGTAAATCCTCTAATATTAGCCTGTATTTAATTAACTGCCGGGTATCATATTTTGGGCCGGTGTCGGAGTCGGTGGAGGTGAATAATGGCCGGTCTCTTATTGTGGCCGGGTGGAATGTGGTAACAGGCAAGTACGGGGGCGGTTGTGTCATTGTCTCACTTTTGATTTGCCAGTGATAGACCGCGAGGGTAACTTTAACCGTGCGGAGACGAAGAGGAGGCGAAAATTTGATATCAAGTTCAAAGAGAACGTGCTGATTATGCTGCAGAACACTCTGGGGAGCAGTAGCAGGGGTTGTATGAACTAGTCACTAGTCGACTTCACCGCTCTATAGTGACTTGTTATGCCTGTCGTCGACTAGTCGCTGTCACGTGATAATGACCGGCAAGATGCAGTCCTCGGAAAAGACAGCAGCCTGCTGTCAGCAGGTGAGAAGCTCCTGCGCGTCGGAAGGCAACGCGCTGTGCCAGA